GCTTCTGGTATACTCTTTTTATGCTTTTTTTTTAAGTTCTTAATTTCTCCTGTTTCTCCTATATCCCTAATGAAAAGAGTTGTGGAAGGAGGGAAATCCACCATGACCCACCTGCTGGCCACTCCAAAATAGTAATCTTAGAAGTTTTGTGAATCTGTAGAAAGCCACTTTATAATGAGGGAAAAAAGACCATTTTGTCTCTTAGGCAGAAAGTTACCACCTGATGAGTCGTGACTGTCTCTATCTTGGACCACTTAGAACTTCCTAGATAGAATGATGTCTATGATTAAAAGCTGCTTGGATGTTGCTCAAGAGATGCATAATGGAGGTTGATGTTTTCTGTCACTATATTCCAGGACTGTTTGGCCATCTGTATTAGTGAAGGTATTTTAAAGATCACCAGGTTAGGTAGGCAGACTCTGTTATCTTCTTGGGTCAGGTTTGAGAAACCTGGTATAAATAGATGTAGAGAGTGGTTTCTGGGGACATTTGAATCTCAAAGCTTTGCTTGTAAATACCAGTTCACAGTCTTAAGCTTTCTCTGCAATTTAAATATTCTAGAGAGAAGGAACCTGAAGAATGTATCCCTTGGGAATAAACTACTTATCTGCCTGTGTTTTTATGCTCCGTAGGCATCATAAAGTCTTTCTGCAGGAGCTCAGTGCTGTGCGGTGTTCTTGTTTTCCTGTTTTTTTTTTTTTTTTTTTTTTTTGTGTTTTGTTTTGTTTTGTTTTTTAAAGCCAACAGGGAAGATGGGGCCAGTGTGGCTGTCAAAATCAACTAGCATCAAAATTGGCACTGCATGCTGTGCTGGATGCCTCTGATGCTTCATCGTTGGAATAGAGCACAGTCATTAGGATCTTCCCCTTGAGGGCAGTAACTTTTCCCTTAGTTTAAGAACTTGACATCTACATTTTTCTCTAGAGGAAAAAGGAAAAAAAAGCAGTTGGGGAAAGCAACTTAATGTTTTTTTTGTTGTTCTTGTATAGAGATGTATTCAGCCAGAAGTAGTGTGCTGAATCCAGTTCTGCTAGGTTAGCCAGAAGCAACATACTGTGAATGAATTTTTTGTGGCTTGTCCCCAAGAGTCGGGGACAGTCAGAAGTTGTCTGCAGGAGTGTGAAAATAGTGCTTTTAGAAATGCATTATTTAGCTACAACTTATTGTTATGCCTAGCCTGGATGTGGGAGGATTTTAATCTTTCTTTTTATATCAGACCTGTGAAAGGGCTTCTCATATCCTTGTGAATCTTTTACAGACAAAGGCCACCTTTTGTCTTCTTTTGCTAGGAAGCAATGCTTTTGGTTAGGCCATGTGAAAGTCTTAATACACCTGTCTTCCCACAGTCATGTCTACTGAGGAGCATGTATTTGAAGCTAAGCAGGTGGAGTATTCTTCACTCAGTAATTAGCTCATTGCTGTCTTTGGAAATCTTTGTTCCTGTAGCCAAATGTAGTTGAAAATACTTGGCTAAACCTAAGGGAAAGGGCACTAGAAGCTTTGCAGTCAGGAGGTGTTTTGTATGCTTACCCTAAAAGGAAAGTAGATGAGTACGGTTCTGGGGAGTTGCACTAATATATACTGAATTAAGGTTTGGATGCTCAGTCTTTTTATTTCACAAATCTTTTCACTGATGTTGGGTTTGAATTGTTTTGGGCACTCACTTCTCTGTGTGGTTTTTTTCAAATAAAAATTTACTGAGTTAATAAATATTTTTGTTATTTCAATGTTGAACACTCACTTATCCTGTGAAATACTCCACGGTGTTCTGTTGCCTCATGGTGCTTGCCAGTAATAGTGGATCACACAAAATTGGCCTGAGTTTTTAACTGAGATGTGGGATTTGTCTGTTTTCATAGGGCTCAGATTAGTTATAATACCAGCTTTCTGTGTACTTGACCTTTACCTATGAGAATCTACTTCCAAAAAAGCCAAACTTAGTATCTTAAAGCTTAAATATTACTTTATTCATGAGTTTTGTATGTGGCAGCTGTGTCTTTGATTAGGTTCTGAGATGGTTTGGCTCAACAGACGTCACTCTCTAAGTGCTATAAGGCTAAAGTGTGCCTTTTTGATAGAATTATTCAGAATGAATAAAGACTGTAAATAAGGAAAAATAGAATGAAACTTCAGATTTTAGTTGGCGAGAGAAAAGAAGCAACTGTAGTTACTAGTAAAAAATATGTTGAAACTTAACCATGTCGTTTTAATTGACCAAATGTTGAAGTTGAACTGAAGTTTGTGTGTAGCATACTTTGGGTTTTTCTCAGTGCCATTTCTCCTTCAATTAAAAGAGTTCATTTGGATCCAAATTTCCAGTATCTGTAAAAATGAAGTGTTGCTAATTTCAAATCAAACTTGTTTTGATTTTCATGGACAATAAAAAAATATAACCAACTATTAAAAAGCTATATAAAACACTGTAGCTTTTTTTTTAGTGGCTGCCTTTTTCATTCACTGAAGTTATGAGTACTGCTTTATTTTATATTTGAAATAGACACCAAAGTGTTTGTTTTCAATCTTCTACCTCAGGGTGAAAATCCTTTTGAAATTAATGATCAAGCTCAGGAGCAGCAGACAGAGGAGGAGGACAAAACTGATGAGCCAGCTGAGGGGGAGGAAGAAGAGGAGGAAGAAGAGGAAGAAGAAACTGAAGAACAAACTGACTTCACTTTAGACCACACTGAAGATAGCTAAATTTAAGAAAATGAAAATATATTTGGGGGGGCAAAACTAGGTTTTTATTTCCGCTCTAAAGTGGCTCAGACTTTATTAAAAAGTCTCAAATGTCCCCCCCCATATGCATGCATTCCATTCTGTGGAGAACTTGTTTATATGATTCCTCTGTGTTTCTGATTTTGTTTAAAATGAATTTAAGACTATTTTAGTTGAGCTTTTTATAGAAAATTGACTGTTAAAGCTGATTAAAACATTGTGTTGTATATTTTTTTAAGCATCTTATTTTTTTGGTGTGTGTATTGAAAGTGGGATATAATAAATAATTTTTTGGTCCGATCAGTTGAGAAGAAAGGCGGGTCTGTGGGGTAAATATATTAAATGCTGTATGGCATAAGCTTACCATATTTACCTCTTAGTACAGAATTAATAACTTCAAAAATTGTACTGTTGAGTGTGGCTGTTTTGGGGACTGCATTGCACTCTGTATAATAGAGTATGTGTTATAATATGCCTTGTAGCTTTTTGTGATAAGATGTACCAGTTTGTAGCAATAAAACAATTAAGAAACTTTAAAGTGTCTATAGCTAGGTATTTCAAGTATTTCCCAATGGTGACTACAAAATTGGCTTCAAATCAGATCTTGATTGATACTATGATTGAAAGTTTTAAAAATTTGTAGTTGCATCATTAGTGATTCATTTATTGCTAATTTTTGATGTATTCGAACTCCACCTACTAGGACAGATGAGCACTTTCACCTTCATAGCGTGCCTAAGGAAGCATGCTTTCAGGGTATTTTCATGCTGTACACTGTTGTATATCTTAGATATTATAAGTACAGTTTTGTATTTTTTTTCCACAGTTCCTTCTAATCTAGCTTTTGACTGAGAATTGGCAATAATCTGGTTTAACTGTTTCACTGTTGCAGCTAAGTAGTTTGCATAATTTTTCCCTAAATATGGTAACTTTACAGAAGTAACTGTACAATCTCTTGTTGTCATTGTGAGGAATTTCTTTCAAAGTCTCATCCTATATGAAAGTTTTGCACCTTTCTGTTGAAGAACTTTTATGTTAATTTGTAGCCATCACTGTATACAGGTGGTTATAAGCAGAGAGTGGGCAGAGGTTAGATGGAATTAAAATACTTGTTGGATACAGTAAGATGCCTTTCCCTAGGTATTATTCTAAAGCACCAACTTAGAATGTTGACTACCCCAAGCGTTAGCATTTATAAAACCACAGTCTGGGAACGTCCCTAAATACCAGGTTAACTAAACGAATGTTCAGTGGAAAGCTGGGCTTGAAATGTGGCTGTTGGTGGTTTACACTCCAGATGGTGACTGGTTACTGTTCATGTTTCTCAGTCAGTTGATTGGAGAAAAGCAGTTGGGTGGAGTTCAGGTAGCTGGCGGGTGTAGGTCGTATCCTGGAAGCAGTATTGAGAGGCTGGACAGGGAGTACTGTGGTTGGTAAAAAGTGGCATCAGGTGACAAGTATTTGAGGGTGTTTAAAAACATGTTAAGGGAATAAAAAAGGCTTTCCTAGATTACAGGCAAGATCTTTCTCTAATCTGGTTCCAGTGCATGAGCTGTAGAATGTGTCTTGAGCTGGAATTAACAGAGGAGGTGTCATACCTCTGATCTGAGTAGCCAAAATGGTATGGAGTATTTCAGGTGAGGGTTTACTTTACACAAGAGTTGTAAGGATTTTACTTACACAGTGATATTGCCATTTTATGTCTGTTGGGAACACCTAGCTGCGTTTTCAGTCTTTTACAGGACACTGCTTAATGGAGTGTTGTTTCTTAGCTATGCTGAAGAAATACATGCAACTTGGCTCATGTTCAAAATCCCTCTTTCTGGAGCCAGAATTTAAGTCTGTTTACTCTGAGAAATATAAAAAAAAAAATTGGTTTTTTTTGTTTGCATTTTTGTTTTATTTATTCAGTGTTGAACTCACAAGATGGCAAGTACAGTATGGTAGAAGAAAATATGGGCACTAATCCTTGCAATTTACACATACTGAGTAACTCCCACGTGTGTGTGTTCTTGGGTTTTGTAGCCCAGTACACATACTAGGCTTTTTACATACAATTGTTTTGCTACATGGTGCGACTGGAATGATTAGCATTACACCCGTGTAATATTTGGCTTGTTTTTGTGCTACACAAAGGATTTAAATCTCAACATGAGCCTATAGGTTCTCCTGCTTTGACTTAAAAATGTATTGCTTACATTAAGAGTAGGTTAAATCAGTTTTCAGCTTGCTGAAATGCTGTAATATTTGGCTTGTTTTCGTGCTATACAAAGGATGGAAACCTTGAAATGAGCTTGTAGATACTCTTGCTTTTGCTTTTCCTGTATTGCGGACAGTTAAAAATAAAATCAGTTTTCAGCTTGCTGAAATAACTACATTTTCTTGCTGCCTTCTGCCAACTGACTTCTGCAAAAAAGAAATCAAACTTTTCTTTAAATGCCAATTTAATCTTACAGTATTTTTCAGATGCTGGCATGTCTCCTGCTCTTTTTAAGCAGCACTAAAATAGAGGATGCAGAGCTTTTCTTCAATGGGCTCTACTTCCACTAAATGAAGTCTTCACCCACTCAGCTTTAGATTGTAGGGAGAGACTATTGTAAAGAGTGCATATAACATCAGGGAGTTGGGTGTCTCTTAGGTGTTTCCTCCCAGCTTAAGCAAGGAAAGGCTTGGTAAATCCCACGTGCTCTTGCATCTGAAGCTCGCTATGAAGTCCCTCAAATCATGTGACAGGAATGAAATTTTACATTTGGTTTAACAGTGAAGGTTTGTTTGGAGTTAAGCATAAAAATGGGTAACATACTATTCTTTAATTTGGTTTTAAGTTAGTTTCTAAAATTCTCCTGAGATTTTTTAGCTTACAATAACTTGTTTATAAAATAAAACTATAATTGTACTAAGGTGTGCAGCTCAATTCAGGTGTCTTTAAACAGATTTGACTGGTTTTAAATGCAGCTAGCCAAAGAATAAGCCTTTCTGTATAAATAGAAATGTGTATAAACTGAACTCCAACATCTAAAACGAAAGTGCTTCTGATCTTACTCTACAAATCTAAGCTTTCCTCATCTCATCCTTTGGTACTTCAGAGCTGATGCCCACAGGAAAAGGAATGAATACCTAGAGGGTGAACTGGAGCATCAAAATCTGTTGAGGCAAAAACATAAAAGAAGTCTTCTTAACAAGACCTCCAGACCCCCTGCTATCCTGTGATTCTCATTTAAAGCAAAGTTCTGCCCCTATGCAGAAGTGTGGTGGTTTGTTGTTGCGTTTTGGGTTGGGTTTTTTTTGATTGAAGGGTACCAAGTGGAAGGGTACCAAGTGTTATGGGAGAGCAAGGAATAAATAACCTGCTTGCCTTTGTGGTCCCCTGTAGGTCAAATGTTTGATGCTTCACACCAAATGTGCCTGTTCTTTTTGTGGAGACTTGCCGTCTTCACTCCTTTATCTCATCATCCTTCATGGACTCTAGAACATGTGTATTCCAAACTGTTTCTGTGTTTGTAAGGTTCCCCACGTACACAAAGCTGTGAAGGTAAATCAAGAATGTTGGGAGTCTTTGTGGGATACCAAAAAAGCTAAGAATGGATAATGCAGTGGCAGGAGGAATGCATATGTTGTGGATAAGTAAAACCTACTGCATATTGAAGTGAGTATTTGTCAGAGATTATGAGCAGAACAGCTGTGTGGACTTCAGACCAAGTATTGATGTGTTTCATTTAAAAAAGAGCACCTTGGATAATATACAGTGCTTTTCAGTCTTCTCACGTCAGGAAGATCCTGAGATAGATGTCCTTCATCACCAGCTGATAATGTTGTGGCCCAGATCCTTTTGTTATCAGTCTGTAGGGTTCCCTCAAGAGTACCTGTAAATCAGTCTTCCTTTTTTCATAACTGAGGTGAATGAAGTGTGTTGGAGGCTGTCTGAGTTTCCCAGAACATAGCTAAGCTGAGCATGTAGCTGCTATACTTGGGGTGGCAGAGAATTTACAGTTGCCTTAAGAGCTAAATATGCTTTTTGATGCCTGAAGAAAACTCCTCTGAGGAATGCGACTGTGGCAAAGATTTATAAGGCTGGAGAGGACCACTATGGTGTAGCCACCCAAGTTAATGTCAACTGTGTTTTGCTTGCTGATCAAACATCTTTTTGTTGAGCTAGTATATGTATTTTAGAAAACTAATTTACTTCAAGTATTATTATTCAGACCCGGGTAAATCTTGCACAATCTCTACCACATTTCAGTTTAAAAGCCTAAATCTGATCTTGTAGGTAGACTATGGGGGCTACTCCATATGGTGTTGCCATGTTTTTCATATTTTGTGCCCCTTGCTGTAACTTTTTGTTTCTGTCAGTGAGAAATAACACACTTGTTAAATGCCAGAGTAAACAACTTCAAAAGGGGAGGTGGTAGGAGGAACAGTCTTACTGACTATGAAGCTATCTGTGATGCTACCTGGGGATCTCCTCCCACAAAAGACTGGTGAAACTATAAAGTTACAAGAGCTGAGGTCTCTGCTAGACTGAGCCATGGATTTCCCACCATGTGTCTCTTTCATGTGCTTTCCTTTGGGAAAAGATGAATAGTCAGTTCAGGTGTTGTGATGCTAAGTCACTGTTCAAGAGATGCAGTTCATTCTGTTGAGGGAACAAGTTTCCAATTAATAATTGGAAAGCTATTGCTTAGAGTAGAGTTCAGCAATGGACGGCTGTAGTTGCCTTCCTTGGCTGTGAAAGTCTGTCTAGTAACGAGTACGGTTCCCTTCCCAGGAGGAGGGATAGTTTGTCCTGTCTTGTGCTAGTTCTTTATGTGGAAATGCACAGCATGTGTGGTGGGGTCAAGCAGGGCCGAAGGTCTTACTGTATTATTGCTTGGAACTTCTTGTCCAGTTCTACTCCCCATAGGTGTCACAGGGGCTACTAGAGTCATTGGGATGGAGTAATCCCTATGCTCTATCTGTCTTCTCACCCTGAGTGTCTAGAACATATGGACAGATCTTTTATTTCTCCCTGGGTTTTCTTAGAACTATGTATAGGCCTTAGGGTAAGGTCACATTGCAGGCCAATGTGGTAGCAGTTCCTAGTGAAAAGATTACAAAGGGTTTCTAGAGCATCCCAGTTCTCAATCTGACTGACTGACTATCCTCTTGGTACAACATGATTGTTGTGTGAAGTGGATATAGGAAAAAGTTAGCTTTCCCATTTGTGTGCCCAGTCCTTAAATACTACGTTGTAATTGTTTTTTGGTGAAGGGTTTACTTCTGTCACTGAAATTCCTTTGCACCTTTTGAAGACTGTCAGTAGTGTGATGCTAAATGTCGTAAATTTTTATGTACAGCAGTTATAATTGAAAAAAACAAAACAAAACAAAACACAACAACCCTCATTCTATCTACCTCTTGTCTGAAGGTAAAACCTTCTGTAGACTGCAGTTATGGTGTGCAGCAGTGCTCATGCTGGAG